GGCATCTGGTTAGGAAGCCTCCTGGACGCCTTCTTGGTGAGGTGTTCCGAGCACGCCCCACCGGGAGGAGGCCCCGGGGAAGACCCAGGACACACTGGAGAGACTATGTTTCTCGGCTGGCCTGGGAACGCCTTGGGGTTCCTCCTGAAGATGGATGGATGGATGGATGGATGGATGGATGGATGGATGGATGGATGGATGGATGGATGGATGGATGGATGTTATCAATCATTTCATTTTTAATTTTTGATCATCATTTTGATTATTCATTTTATTCATGTTCATTATCTATTTGATTACCTTTATGCCGCTGCAATGAACCTTTCTCTGTTTTCTATTAAGTTCTTTCGTGTTCAGCAATAACATTTTCTTGATATTAAAATGTGCTTTAAATCAACTTGCCTTGCATTGCGTTATAGTTTTAAGTGTATAAAACAAGAGCAAAGTGGTTAGTTTACCAGGAGAGGTTCTCCAAAGCATAGGGTTTAAAAGATGCAACCAAAAATAAATGAGAAACCTTGTATTTCATTCTCTCTTACCAAAGATAAATATGCCTACTGCATAATTTCAATAACACGAAAGATGTAACAGGAGATTTTCATTCTCCAGTACCACAGCAGTTATAACATGGCCATCTGACAGCGACGTATCACCATACATGTAATAGCTGTTCATATAAATATATACTATATGAACACATTTTATTAGGGATTTACAAAGAGAAATGTCCATTCCTCCGCAGAAAAAAAGCCTTAATATTCACCTGTCCTGCGGTTTGTTACATACATTATTTTGGTTATAAAAAAAGAGAGAATCTTTTCAAGCTACTTTTTAGTTTAATGGGATGATTGTAATTTAAAGTTTGGACTTACACAAATCACTCATCACACATCACTCCATAAAAACAGCTTTGGGAGATGCCAATAACTGTGACAGTATGCTTAAATAAGCCATCCAGATGCACAAACATGTGGTTTTGCAAGTGTTTTTTCTTCTCCACATCTTTACTGTGAGATTATGGGTTTCCTGCAAAGTTACATGAGACGCTTCTAAAATTCAAACATAGTGAAATAGATGCAGAAAATGCATCAGTGATATGACTCAGATTAGATTAATCTCATTGCTGGTGGTAACTCCATACATTCATATTCCCTTACTTGGTAATTTGCATGTTCTGATGCATGACCTGCCTAATTTTTTTGCCGCTTTTCCTAGTTACTTTAGAGACACAAACACCATGTGCACCTGGTCTGTAGATCAACTTTGCACATGCTATCAAGTTTTCTCTTGCTACATGTTTGCTACATGCAAACTTTTAGGAGGTTAAGGCCTTAGAGTTGCATTAACACTGTCCAAGAGATCCTCTTGAGGTATTGTACCATAGTCATCTTTGACCTTAATCAGGGTTGACAGGTGATCAACTTAGCCATGATCTTGTCTCTCAGGTCAGTAATTCTGGCAACCATATCTATCATTGGGGCTTGTTCTTAGCCTTAACCCATGGAACAACAAGAATAATAGAACAATGTCTGCTATTCTGATAGTCATATTTTTTTTTTTTTTCAATTTGGAACCTTAAGTGCTTAAGTGAACCAGCCAGATAATATATCACACAATTTGGTGTTTTTCAGAGTGTGGGCTTTTTAGTAAGTTTCTTTTTTACTTCATTTTTAACAATAACATTGACCCATTATGTGTAGAAGCTTAAAAATGTTTAAAATATGAAAGAATTCAAGAAAAAATATGAAATTCAAAAACTGTTTTCACAAATATTGTCAAGAATAACCTGAAAACAAGTATTCTGTCCTTTAACAGATAAAAGCAAAATATGTGTAATGATTAAAGGAAAAGAAAATAGGTAATTCTGCATTTTGCTTTTAGTATCGTCAACTTTAGGCTTTGTAGGATACCTATTGTTTTTCCTTTGTTTGAGAGGGCCCTGCTTTACCAACAATCTAAATAGCTGAGGGCTCATCAACGTTTATGACTTTCCTGAACATCACTCAAACACTTCCTTGGTTTAACTGCTGACTTTGGCATGGAGTTTGATGAGTCAGAGTGAGTTGGCATCAGTGTTTGCTCCTGGTGGTAAATTGCATTTACACTGAGGATTATATAGCTGTATTGGGAAAAGTGGTTTTAACTCATGTTTATTTGTTAAGGTCTGGAGAGAAAAGTTGGCTTACTGTTTTTAGTCTATGTTATCCATTACTGCATTTAAGATACTACATATCCTGAAGCCTGCTGCAATGTTATTCCTTTGAGCATTGTTTAAAACTGTGGCTACTTGTCAGTACATTGATGGCATTGATGAAGGAAATCTAAAATATAGTCTATGATACTTGATGGTCCATATGAAGTAATCTATGTCAAGCCTATTGGATTAATTTACTTAATTTACCGATGTCCTCCATTTCCATTCACCAGTTTTTGCCACACTTTTAACAGATAACAAGCCTGATTATAACAACCAATGAAGCAACCCCTTCTTTGTATGCAGCACAACATAATATTAAATCATACATTTTTCAGCTCAGTGTAACTAGCACAAAACTAGAGTGAATTTTTTATTTTTTTTTTTCAAAAAGATTTTTGGATCAGTATTTAGTAGGTCAGTGTTGCTCTAGTGTTTACATATTAAAATGATGTAACATTTTCATAAGAAAACAAAATAAAGATTGGTCATATTCAGTCTCTTCAGCATGTGACCACTCTATCTAAGCTAAAATTATAAATACCATTAATGCACCATACAGCATTCTTTTGTCTGTCCATTGATAATTTTACAGTTATTCATGGTGAATCAATCGGAAATGTGAATTTTATTTGTTTTCTTTTTCACTTTCTGTGTAGAGATGTGGTACTGCATGTCCCATACACCTACCAGATCCAGACAATCTCCCGCTGGGGTAAGAGTGAGCCCTCTCCACCCCTGGTACACGAACTTGGTGGTCCCTATTGTGGAGATGGAAGGATCCAGAGGTAATGTGATGTTTAAAATATATACTTTGATCATAGTTAATTGATATATTATTCAAAAAAAAAAAAAAAAAACAGTTTCTGTTTTTTTTTATATTGTTGTCAAGTGTAGCCTTTTGACACAGTTTCTGTTTTATTTTAGTTCTAAAGGAGAGGAGTGTGATGATATGAACTCTGTGAATGGAGACGGCTGTTCAAGTCAGTGCAAGGAAGAGCCCTTTTTTAACTGTGTTGGTAAGGCTTATGGATTGAGTTGTGTTAGTCACATTTAAAGTACATTTTTAAACAGTAACACCACATTTCTGTTGTAATGATGTAGAACTCTGATACCCAATGTTGTATTTCCATCAACTGTAGGGAAAAATAATTTAAATTAACTTTCTCTTTTTTACTGATCTACCTAATGTTCTTCATTGTCTTAAAAATATTAAAGAAATAAAAGTCAGGAGTTTTCTTTTTGCTTTGGTCAAAAGTTTTACATGCATTAGTGATTGTTTGATAGACTTAGACTTCCTTTATTGTCACTGCACAAAAAAACACAAGGTGAATCTTGACAACGAAATGTCGATTACTTGGCTACCAATGTAACAGAGCTAAGACCTTATTCCTGCACAATAAATATGTTTTCTATAACTAACAGCTAGCTATATACAGGGTAAAGAAGTATATACCGTATATACATAAATATTGCACTGAGTTATTGCTAAAAGAAACATTAAACATTGAGCTTACTTAGATACAAAACTGCTGCAAATTTTAATAAATCTATACCTCAGTATTGTTTATGACCTTATCAAAGATACAATATATGAAGATAACTAAAAGACAAAATAATCATTAATATTCTTAATCTTTTAATTCACTTTGATTTTTTCCCTTTTCTGGTTGATTCTCCAGTCGTGCAAGAACTAGTGCGTTGTGTAGTGTACAGGGGGAAATGAGGGGCGATCAGCCTCCAACGACTGCCTCCCGATCAGGAATTGTAAGATCAGGAGAAAATTAAACATGTTTGAAATTCAGTCGGCCGCCGTAAGATCACATCAGAGCAGAGATCGCATCAGGGTGTTGGACCATACAGTTTGAGAGCATACATCGTGAGCTGTTAACTTTTAAACCCTGCAGTTTTCACTCCTTTTACATACGGTTTGAGCATATTGCACAGTTTATGCCCGGCTTTAGCTGCAAATTTCAGCAGCCAGTTCAGTGATAGCGTTCAAAATAAAGCTAAATCTTTTTGAGAGTTAACATCTAACTTTGTTTAGACACTAAACAATCCATTCTCCCTGTTTAACGTGTTTTTTGTCGTATTTTTCTTCTAATTGTTCCGGTACTATCTCCCTTGAGGTCTTTGCTTCCTACTGCTGCACTCAGTCACCTTCCTACTCTTCCATTATCTGTTTATTGTATCCCACTTCAGTTTCAGATACAATGTCAAGCATTGTTTGGTTTTCTTAACTTGTTGCTCCTCTGTCTTTAGTTCACACTTAACCTTTTTTTTTCTGCACTTTTCGTCAGACACTGTTTGAGACAAGAACTCTTGTCTTGCTTTATCTTCTTGCCTTGTTATTTGCCTGTTTCTACTTAGTGAGTGGCAGAAGAATCTTCTATATGCCCCCTCAGTAGCCCCCCGTTTCACCGTTGCCAGAGCACAGAACTGACTTGAGCTTTTGGCTGTGCTGGAGATGGCTGGAATTTCAAGAAGGAGGACTCAGCCAACTTGGCACAGAATACCGTCTTTCCCCCTAACTGGAACCCCACTGGCTGACGCTGCTTTAGTTGAGACCACTGGGGCCCAGGCAACCTTCCTGCTCCACTCCTCTCTCCTCCAATACACACGCTTTTGGTTCCAGACCCTAACTGCGGGTGGGATGTCTGGAAAAAATACTGTTGTATCTTTCTTTTACCTCTTGACTTTGTCTGCACCTCTTTGTCCCTCCTCCTCTTGTGTTTGTCTGTCATGATTTCATTTACTTATAATCTCTACTATATTCTCCTTTGCTCTGTTTTTATGACCCTGTGATACACTTGGATTCACACATATAAATCCAGTTCCAGCTTTACCATCCGGTTTTCTCTTTAGCTTATCTGATTAAGCAATAAAACAGGTGATGTGGTATTACATTTTTTATAATTTTTTTTGCATCTACTCTATCTTTTGGTAGTATCTGACAATGCTGGCTGTTTAAAAAAATAGTTGAAGCATAATCTTTTCGTCCATCAAACTGTAGCAACTCAATATTTAATCTCAGGCCATGAGACTGCTGTGAATATTTTTGTACATATCAAAAAATCATTCTGTATTAAGCGTTTTAAACTTGTCTGACATAATCGCACCCCTATTATAGAGATGATGGAAATACTACATACAGTAAATATGTTAACAAAAAGGTAACTTAAATGTTTCTGTTATGTATATGCACATGCACACTGGTGAAGAATTATCCAGATCAGCATGCTAAATGCTTTCAGGTGCAACCAACTCTGGACACTAGAACCTATTTTTTATTTACCCGTATTTAGAAAATTATAATTTTTATGCTTGGCTGCATGCTTAGGCTATGTACAAGATGATCGGTTATAAAGCTGAAAACTTCCATGTAAACCTTTCAGATTAGATTGTGAATTTTAAAATTATTTCAATGTGGAAAATTTTTTTATTATTTATGAGATTTACTCAGAAGTTTGTAAAAAAAAAAAAAAAAACGTCCATGTAATACCACACATCAAAGGTATTTGAATCAATAATGTAATCAAAACTTAGTTTCCTTTATGAAGCCATAAAGCACAAATACAGTTTTTATATTTAAAAGTCTGGTGCTTGCAACTATGTAGTGTAGTGAATATGTTTAGTTGGCAATAGTGTAACCTTAAAAATTGACCAAAAATGTTTATGCTATACGTTTTACAACCTTCAAACATATCCACTATATAAAATACCACATCATTATTGGCTGAATTTATATTTAATAGGGTGTTTTACTATGTGATAACCAATAACGGTGTTCTTTATTTCCTTAACATCCATAAAAAAAAAAAAAAAATTATTAAGATAGATATACCAACATGTATAGTAGGAAAAAAAAACATATAACATTTATTTAACATTTACATATCCTGTATTCTTCTTAACTGCAGAGGAGCCAAGCATGTGCTACTACTACGATGGCGATGGGGTGTGTGAAGATTTTGAGAGGGAAACGGGTGTGAGAGACTGTGGCCTTTATACACCCAGTGGTTACTTAGACCAGTGGGCTTCCCGTGTTGAAGTTTCTCATGAAGAAAAGCCATATTGCTCTGGGGAAGTGGCTGCTGGATATCCGGCTGTTACTAAGGTAAGCTTGTCCTAGAAATGTAAAATGTTACTTTAAATTCCTAGTTGATGTCATGTTAGTGTTTTTCTGTAAAAATGTAAAATAACATGACACGGACCTAAGTAATATACCAAAGTTAAACACATTTTAAAACACTAGTAGGGTCATTCTGATGTTATCAGGTCTTGCAGTATTAAGATTTATTTTCTTTTTATCTCACACAATTACACTCTCAACGCACAGACAAGTCGAATGACTCCACATCTTTTACTGTGAGCTTATGGGTTTCCTGCAAAGTTACAGGAGACCTTTTTTTTTCTAAAATCAATTTTGAGCATTTTAATATTAATTCATTTAACAAAACCCTTTGTTATGTTGTATATCTAGTGCCGCCTCTTCCTTATCCCCATCACTTTAACAATAGACCTTTAGCTCCAGTTTCTCTTGAAACCGGTCAAAATTAATAGAAATATTTTGAAGTAACAATATTTAACTGAAAACAATATAAAATCTGCCCTCATTCAATGCCTATCTAACTGTTACTCATTTAGCCAAACACCAACAACCGCAGAAGCCAGAAAAGAAACAAACAAAACAAACAACTAGAAAATATCCTCTGAGCTGATACTGGTCTCGATGTTATTGACACCTGCTTTGGTCAGTGGTTATTCATTTTTGTTTGTTATATACTATCAACATTGCCATCTGCATAGTGATATCTTTTAACACAAACCAATATAAAATGTGTAGCTGAAACTTATCTGCTTTCCAAATTTAGTTGATAGTAATATTTCTAAAAACTCAGTTCACCTTAAAACTGACCAATCTCCTAAAAAATTCCTGCATTTCAGTATAAACTTACAGTAGGAATGATTGATAGTCACATACAATGTACTAAAGTGTATACAGCATGGTTTTATGTGTCCTAAAAGATAAAAAAAAAAAGACATATTTGTATATTTACTGGGAACAATGTATGCATGTGCACCTGCAGTAGACACAGAATTGATTACATAAATGGGTCTGAATTTATCTTTCAAAAAAATCAGTCAGTGTTTGAAAGAGTCTGAGCTTGGTGCAGAATACCCTGGCCCAATTTTGAGATTGAAGTGGCATATCCTCTTAGCAGTTTTCAGAGCTGAAAGCGACAATCGTAAACTCATTTTTTTGCCTTAGTATTTTATTTATTCAGAGTAAAATGATCGCAATATATGAGGAGAAAAACATAGAATCCTTGTCATTCACTACAAACATATTTTTAAACATAGCTGTTAGTTGATCCATGCTAACAGATCATAACCTAATCAAGAGAAACAAAAATAAATAAATAAATAAAATCAACATTGTGCTTCACATTACTGTAATAAAAATGATTATTAATACAATAAATCGATACATAGTTACTTTTGATTGTTTAAACCCCAGATACATTTTTAGGCACACTTTCATATAGGAATATTTGTGGTGACAAGCTTTTTTACTGAACAAAATTGGTGCATTTATAGATAAATATTATTGCAAATTGATGCTTTTCTGTTTATTCTATTTATGTCACAATTTAGATCAGAGTTTAAAACATTGTCTCGGGTATAACTTTATTGGGTTAAGTTTAGTTATATGAAAATCTGGTGTGCTTGAATAAAGGTTCTTAAGAAGATACACATTTTCCAGCTTAGGTGCTATGCATGTGTCATGAACCCAAGTGTGATATCTGTGGCAATCACTTTTTGCCTCAGGTGACCCAAAAAAACTGCAATTTTTTTGGCAGACTCAGTCCTTGTCACTAAATTTCCTCTTAATTGTTCAGTTAATTGAAGACATTGGAGAAAACACGTCCTTTATTTCTTTCATGCAAATGCAGTTGGTTGAAGATCCTTTAGATTAGACTAAATTATATCAGACAGATATATTTATATGACAAATGGGACAGAAATAAATCCTCCAACTTTCAATGTAGTAATAATCTCAATTCTGAAAGTTCTGGAGATAGCCGTTAACACTGTCTAGGACTAAAGGAAGAAGTTATTAGGAGCAAAACCTAACTTAAAGGTTTAACAAGGACCTTTTTAGATGTCCTACAAACTTTTTTTTTTTGCGATTTTAAATCATCCTTAGGATTAGGAGATAAGGATAATGGAAAAAGAAGCATGATTTATCCGTAAGTAATCCAGAGGAGCTCAGCAAAATAAGATTGATCTATTATTGGGTTGAGGATTTGAACTGCAATGAAAGACTTGTGCCTGCCAGAAAATAATTTTGCTATGCTGATGTAAACAGTTAATTTTAATTAGTCTAAAAGCTGAAAATATGGGGAGACCAAATGACTGGCTGCATTGAGGTGAGGTCATCAAAATTAAATGGTAAGAAATAAGATTTAATGGCTACGGCTGAGGGTATTTGCTGAATTCAGTTTCTTTTATGTAATATGTTAATCTAAATAAATTGTGTTTTGTTTATGTGAAGATTTACATAAATTTTAATGCCTTTTTGTTATACCTAGTAAACATTTGACAAGATATAATGATGCCCTTGTCCCTTAAACTAGTAAATATATATATTGTGTGTTTATATTGTGTTTTCCATTGTCTCTGTTTAGACAAAGGAAAACACAAATTCCTTTCAAATATTTCTAGCTGTTTTGCATTGGATGAATGATTTTTTTGAACCTTGGTTTCTTTTAAAGTGCAGTGAACTGCTTTGTATTGTATTGCAAATTAAACCGTTATCGGTTGTAGATTTGAAAAAAAATCTGAAGACAGAATCAAATATTGATATTGCCTTATGACATAAACATATCTGCATTACGGACTGCACTTTGGTTTATAGAGAAGAACATATACACTGATTCCTGTGGTTTTGTTATCACCAAGTAGGTGCCTAATTATTCACATAGAAAAAGTCAAATAATGTCCACAGAGATGGTTTAAATATTTAATATAAGCTTGATTTTCCTCTGAAAGTTCCAGAATATACAGTGTATAGTGTGGATTTTTTTTATCCCCTTAAAAACAGATGTTACTATGCAAGGCTGCAGAAAATCTGTTTACTTTAAATCAGTTTAATGATATATGGGGGATTTATGAAGACAGCTACACTGTACCTTCAGACCAGCAGGTGGTGGAAATAAGAAACTGAGGGCATAGTTCTGTGTCATCTTACAACCATTAAGGCTTAAAACGATCTATCGTCTGATCCAATGGAAAATCAGTCGTAGCAATCACATCTTATTGGATTGCATGGGGCTCTCAGACCGCTCATGATTCTTTGCAACTGTGACCTACGCAGCAATTTCAGGGAAGGTCACGAGGCTGACAGGACGATAGAGATCCACTGTTCCACAAATCCACTGTTGGAAAAATACAAAGTAAAATCTTTAAATAGCAATGCAAACCAGCTGGTTTCATCTCCTTAAAAGTTCGTCACTGTTCATCTCCAGCTGTCCATGTGCGAGAGGCGGGGAATCACCCTGGAAAGGGTGCCAGTCTATCGTAGAGCAACACAGAGACAAACAGGACAAACAACCATTCATGCACACACTCACACCTAAGGAGAATTTAGAGAAGCCAATTAACCTAACAGCCATGTTATTGGACAGTGGGAGGAAGCCGGAGTACCCGGAGAGAACCCACACATGCTCAGGGAGAACATGCAAACTCTGTGCAGAAAGACCCCGGGCCAGAATTCGAACCCGTGATCGTCTTGATGCAAGGCAGCAGTGTTACCCACAGCTCCATTGACCAACCTATGCTACTCATATCAAAACTACAAATACCAATTTATGATTTAAATCTAAATACATTAATAAGCAGTTAACTTAAAAAAAATTATTTTGATAAATTGTTAGATATTTTCCTCTAATCTGTGGATTTCAGCGAAGTGTGCAACTGTAAACAGCAGTTACTGAATTACTGAATGTTGCCAGAACATCTCTAAACCTGCCTGTAATATTTTGATGATGAAGTGAAAAAATAATCATCTGATCTTTACATGTTAACATATCACAATGTTTGCACAAGGGGATAAGTCTTAAAACAATACTTGACCCAGGGTTAAACCCTTAAAGGAGACAAGTTAAGTGCAAAATTAGAGTTTAGACGTCCAATTCTTTTACGGCCAAGGAAGGAGACAAAGAAGAAAGAAAAAAGTAAATATTGTACTTTATCATTTACTTGGACACAATAGGCTTATAGGTTACTGGTTTTAGACAGAATGTACTTATCAGTCCTTCATGTACGACTAAGATAACCATTTAATCCCTTCAGCTTTAAACTGTTAAACTGTAGATGTACTCTTTTAAAATAGGCCTCACAACTAGGGTATTTAATCCTGGCAAAAATTCATTAAATATAGGTACATAAATCCAAGTTTTAAGTCAGAAATCAAGGCACTATAGTGATCAGAAAACCTTGATAAGATATGTTCACGCCTGCTTCATATTCTCCTTTCTTTGGTAATTAAGTTGGCATATTTACATAGCAGTACAGAAACATGTGCACACATACAGGCACTGTGCTGCCTCCATACAGGCTTATAAGGTTGTTCCATATGGGGCTGAAATGTACCACTAACGTTCTGAAGCAGGACATGATGTTTTCCCACTACCTTTTTGCAGCATGCTTTAGGGGAATTACAGTAGAGCTCACAATTTACTTCAGTGTGTTTATAATTGTTTGCATGTGTGTGGGCATGTTTTCTCATATTCTTGGGTCCATCAGTCTAAAGTTAAATATGTCTGTGAGGTATAACAGTTTATTGGCACCAAAGTAGCCTTTAAATTTTAAAAGGTTGTTTATGGGTTATTGGAATTTGGTTTTTAGGATCACTCTAGTTAAACGGTTGCTAAAGAGCTAGATCATGCATAACAACAGTGAAAGGATGCATGCACCAGTGGTTTATAGTAACTAAATGAAATGTACTTTGTTGCAGTACTTAAGTAGTTTTTTTGGAGGATCTGTACTTTATAGAATTATTTGCTAATTGGAACTTTTACTTTTATTTTGTTACATTAAAAGATATAAACG